CGAGGATTCACTGCAGCCATTCTAGTCCTTTTTTTGTAGCCCATGGCTGAACCAATCCATCCATTTTCTAAGGATTTTATCCAATCCAGGGCCATGCGGCATCCAGAGTCTATCCCAGCAAGCGACAGGAGCAAGGCAGGGTGCACCTGGATGGGACACCAGTCCATCAGAAGGCACACACACACACTCACAGCAGCAACCTGCATAATGACACTCACAGGTCCAGAACTGAGCTCAGGGGCTCAGGGCTATGAGGCAGCAACACTAATCACTGCGCCACTGTGCTGCCTCACGTTTGAACCCTGCCCGTCGCATTCCATTTCTGACCCACTCCACCCCAGACAAAGACAGGAGCAGTCAGAAGAGCCCCTCTTCCGCTCGATGGAGAAGGGCAGCACCTGAAGGCGGCCAGCCAGGCCTCTGCGTGCAGATGGCACCACAGTCGGTGTGACATGTAGTAATGAAATGCAGGACTTCCTTGCCTCCACTGTCAGCACCTCTTACCATGCAAAAACACCCACTTTGTCACACCAGAGGTGCAAAACTCCAGTCCCAAAGTTAAGCAGCTGCGAGTTTGCAATTCATGCGAGCTCTTCAAGGCCTAACCAGTCAAATAATTGGCTTAACAGAGATTTGTTTAGCACCTTTCCCCAGTTCTCTAGGTGTCGGGAGTGCAGCCCCACAGCAGGGGAACTGTGAACCCCTGGTTTGTGGAAATGTTTCACAGAGAGGCGCCCCACCACCTCCACTGAGTTTGCTCGTCTTGTTACCTAAAGACCTGCCTTGTTATCTAGCAGGGGGGGGGCCTTTAAATAGAATCAATTCATTTTTAAAGCCAATATGTCTAGAAAACTGAACACATTGGTTAAAGTTAAGAGCTTATAAGATCCCCTGAGTATGCAGAGAATTCATTACCTTTTATCCTTATTTAAAGACTCTTCTTACATACGAGGCTCTTTGAGCTTTTCCACATTGCACATAGCCAGCTAGTACAGAACAGACCTTGCTTGCGTCCATACCCACCCTGTAAATACCCCGAGCCGCTGCAGTAAACTTTAAATTAGTCTGGGAGTGCATCCCTCCCCCAGAGCCATAGACACTTCCTGGATTAACGGCCTTCCTCTTTCCAGATGTTGCAAGAGGCAGGGAAACAGCTGCCCTGGCCAGCGTTCCACAGCCATTTAACCCCTGCCCTGCCTCTCAGCACCCATCAGCCCCGCTAACACCTCCCTTACCTCCCTCAACAACCCGGGAGGCCCCACAACTCCCATGCAGATTGGAGGAGAAGAACATTTGACTAAATATATCCTAGCATTGTCATTTTTCTTAAAACCACACCAATAAGTAGCAAAGTCGACATCTGTCTACTGTTTATAACCCGAAATCACTGCAACATCCCACAACTCTAACATCCAGCATGTTTCCTGCTTTTGGATGGTGAGGATTTGGTGTGGATGTGGCATTTTTCTTTTTGCCCCACCCTGCAAGTGCATCCCTGTCTTTGTCAGAAGCGTGCACTCCGATTTTGCGGAAAAGTTAACCACTCATGCCCGGGCTCTGCTGCCAAGGTCTGAAGGAAACTGGTCTCCTCCTGCAGCCACGCAAATTCCAAACCCTTTGATCGGCCCGACCTTTGACCCCACCCCCCCGACCCCTGACCTGGAAGAGCTCCGGTCAGGGAGAGAGTGCCACACCCCCGTACCCTCCTCTGTGACAGATCTGGCAGTTCTAAAACGGCTCTAAAAGTGGCGGTCAGTGATTCACCCTCCCCATCGGCGGCTGACGATTCGAACGTTGGTGGGTGCCCGCTGGAGGGAGGAGCAGGAAGGTGGAACTTGTAGGCATCCCTCCTGTCCGAGTGAGAGGCCTGCTTTTCATTTCCGATCTTTCACTTTTCTCAGGACCTGCCCAGACAGCCTGGCAGCTCGGGAGCCTTGTGATGCTCGTCACACAGGTGGCACTGCGCTCACATCCCCCAGAAATGAAAGAAACCACCCCACCACCCCCCGCCATACTCAGACAACACCTATTTATTTGCCTCCTTTGTTGAGCTCAAAACACACTGTGAGGTGTTGGTTACACAGGATAAAGCCTGAGACATCCTCATCGTGGGTGGCCTTAAAATGAATTTTCACAAAAGTGCAGCGCACGGGTGTTTGGAGTGTGTGTGTGGGAGGGGCACACTCAACTCACAGAGCAGTACAGCCCAATCCCCCCTCCAGCACTCAGGCGAGAGCTCGCTCCTCTGAGCTCCCATGTGCCCTGCTGGGGAAAGGCCTCACACAGAAAACCTCTAACAGTCCCTCAAGCTCTCATCCGCACAGCATGCTGAGAGGACCACCGAAAAACACAAAACAGGCCCTTCCAACGTGTCCTTAGTCTCCTGCTATGAAACTGTTAAGGTAGTTGGAGTCCACACAGAATCAAGGTAGTAATACACTGACTTCACAGCTGTCACAAACAATCCCAGGTTGTTGTTTTTTACCTCAAAAAAAAAGTCTCATTTCTGCATTTTAGAAAACTATTCAAGATATTTTTGAAGGGGTGGCCAGTGTGTGGAATAGTAACGCACTGCATAATGAATGGCAGGCTACGCGAAGCGAAATTAATTCCACTTTAATATGGACTGCAAGCAGCGAAGGCCTAAGGTTGAGCAACTGTAGCTCCAGCACATTTTGTACTATAAAAGGTACCCAAGCACTATTTTTGAACGCCTTAAAAAAACTAAAAATAATAAAGGACCTGCCCCATGTCTCAGACAAAATACGTCTTAACGTCTTGGAGCAAAATATGGAAATACCATTCTCTCTCCTGCAACCTTAGAACAGCGACAGGCATCGCTTCCAAGAATTTCCAGAACGTTACTCAGACCTCATTAGTCGGAACTGAAAGGACGAAAAAGTCTCAACAGCTGTGCGCGCCCTGTCTTTAAGCCAAAAGAAAACGCTTTGTATTTTTCTGTTTCTAGAGTAGCTTATTACGAGGTATCGTGAGGCTAATTACATGGCAGGGATTGTGGGGATATTGTCATTAAAATAGCTGAGAGGGGAGGGGGGCTGCTCTTCACTCGGAAGTTCAGACAATATCGCGACTTGCCGACAGAGGAAAAGAAATGTTTCTTAAGCGAACACTTCCCCTACACACGCCCCACGCCTTCATTACTAAACGTACCCAGAGCGACGCGCGCATAATTGTTTCCAGAGCTCGGAATCTGCGACGCTATCTGAAATCAATTCAGCTTTTTCAATACCCTCCTGCCTGCCTGGCAGTGGGACGAGTTTCGTAACTCTGGCTCCAGATGTGCTTTAGGTGCTGCAGAGTGTCCGAAGCAAGAACGAGCCAGTTGCTGACCTGCAACAAGCCAGTTAAAAAATAATGAACAACAGTTGTGCGCAATGATAGGTTTGTGAAGTAGCCCGTTTGGTTGTCTTTCCTGGCTCATACGAATACCGCGATTCTACCGTACGGGCAAAATTCAGCATCGCCAACTTCTGAACGCTTTTCGTTATTCGGGAATAAACGCATTTCATCGGGAACACAGCATGCTACAGCCCCCACACACACACAACACACACTTCAGTTTAAAAGGCGGGCACCGCTTCAAATCTCCTCTCCCTGTTGCACAGCATTTCACAGGACCCTGCCGAGCCGAGCAGCTCCCTGCGAGTCGAGTCCCCCTGACACGCACAACCGCAACGTTCACACTCCGGCGGCCCCCTGGTCTCACCGGACTGCCTCTCCCCGCCGAGCCCCTCACAAAATCGGAGGAGGAGGGGGGTTGGTGAGCAAAGGCAGTAAGAAGAACGCTATGAATTAACCATCAGCGCGGGAGTGGAGCGGAGCCCCAAACCGACTGTGTCAACACACACAGCAACACGCGTTCTCTCGCCTCGTGCAGTCGGGAGCTGCACAAGTTTCCGACTGCAGTCACCGCTCGGGCAGCTACACAACTACACACGTAATCTCTCCTGCCGCCCCCTGCGCCTTCAGTCTCTGAATCAGTGCTGTTGTATTCCCCACTCCTCAAAATCTGCATCCAAGTAGGATCGTACTTTTTTTTTATGAGACTTTGCACTTGACTTTTCCAAAAGCGCCCTTTTCGTTTTGGGTGGGAAAACTGTAACCCACCTAGCGCCGTCTCGCGAAAAAGGGGGGAGAAAGTGTTTTTAAAAAAGCATTTCAGGACTGGCACGAAACCATCAGAGATCTGTTGATCACAGGAGAAAGCCGTGTGCTGTGGTTACTTAATCAGACAGGGGGAGCAGGCCCATTGCATTCTATGGCGCTGTTTATACAAGCAATTTATTTAAAAAAAACGGGGACTACAAGGAAATACGCTCTCGCTAGGTACAAAATCAGGAGAGCGCCTCACATTCCCTACCAGTGAGGATGAAAAACCGTGCATGCGAATGTTACATTGTTGTGTTTGAGGCGAGAGAAGCAGCGGAGATGTAACAAAAACACGTTCATGCATTTTCTGGAGACCTCCCCCGCCTGCAATCACACGGCAGAAAAATCCACTTAACCCGCCTTTTGTTTCCAACTGATAGCCGTATATTGAGACGGTTTACCTCCAAGAACAACATCTCAAGCCATGCAAAAACGGGTTCTGGGGTCCCGTGAGCACGGTTTGTTTCACTCTCGGAAAGGCACTTACGCGCACAAAACACACGTTTACCCGGACTTATGACAAGCATGCAGGTAGCCGAGCTAACGGCAGATGCCTGTGCGTGTGACCTGGCTCACAGAGGAAAACGTTGCCTGGTCTCTTTTACAGGCGGAAAAAACAACTGTCCATCCCCTAATCGCCCGCATTAGGAACACACAATTTCACGAAATGCTGCGAGGCACGCACGACAATTCAGGTAAACCGAGCGAGAGCTGAACATAAAAGCGTCGTTTCCACTTCGGAAATGCGTTCACCACGGCAGCAGCGGATAAACAGACGCGTACATCTGTCTGGAAAGGTGCAGCGTTTTTAATAAATCACGGCTTCTTACCATCGACGGCTCTGGCGGGAGCCGTAACCTCCAGACTGTGCAAAATTCCCAGGACAAGCAACACCGTGGCCAGAGCCTCTGCCTTGTGAGACACCATGGTTGTGCAAAAAAAAAAAGGGCAGATTAACAGAAAACCGAAAAAAGATTTCAAGAAACACACAGCTGGGACTCCGGTTCTTCCCGAACCGCGGTTTTGTAGTCCGGACTCGAATCCCCGACGAGATTCTCCGGGCGTCCTCCGGCACGCACACTCGAAATAAAGGTGCGACGACAATATTCAGATTTTTTTTTTTAAATGCCGTTTTTTGATCTGAAAAAGCAAACGAGGCTTCTTCAGCCCCGTGAGGCTACGGCTCGTCTTGTGGTTATCATGTAGCCTTATTGATTTGCAGCCACATCTACGTAGAAAAAAAAAAGGACCTGAGGTGGTCAGTAAAGTGACCAAATCGTGCGCATGAAAAATAAAAAGGAAACGTTATCTGATCTATGGATATCGGCTGTTTTTGTATTCTGTCTCACTGACTGTAATGTTGATGATATTGTCTGCAGGAGGAAAAAAAAAATTAAAAAGCTCCTCTCCCCTCACCACCCCACCGCCGCCTCTGTTGCTGGTGGTTACGGATTGAGCGGAGAAGAGCGGCGCTGCAGCCACACAGCCCAGCGGGCAGGGGATGACGTCACTCGCTCCAATGGTATTCCGAAGCCAGGAGCAGCTACGCGGCACTCGCCGTGTGCGCACGCGCCGGGGTCGGCGTGCTGGGTTTTTTTTTTACCTTTTTCTTCATCGAGCGCACAAGAACCTTTTGAAACTGCCTCTCTAATTGCCCCCATTTTGGATCTGGCGGCTTCAGGCATAGCTGTTAGAGGCCGGCCCCGTGGACTGGAGCCAAAATGGGTTTAGTTTCATGAAGTGAAAGGGGCACAGGGAGGGAGAGACTTTCACGGCGCGAGTCTAATGCATAAAAAAAACCTTCTGTCATTTTGTCCTTCCGTTTTCACTCGTTTAAAGTGACTTTGCAACGGTGGACAAAATAGCACGACACGAATTTTATGAGTGTTGGATTTTGGTTTGTGCTTTACGAGTTTGTATTCTGTACGGCTCGCTTATTCCTGCTTAGAAATTGAAGACATTCAGCAAATGTAAGCAGAAGTGCCTTAATTCTTGTGAAAGAACAGTGCCTGGTTCGTGTGCTGATCAGCCCTCAAATAGCCCAGTGCAGGTATGCAGACACGTTAATTCAGAGGGTGCTGCACAGAAATGTCAACTGTACAGCTCAGAATCTCTCTGTATATCCTGCTCATCAGCGGGAATACTGGGAAGAATATTTCACTGCCTCGTGCTTCATGGGATTTCAGAATGTCCTCCTTTGGACCAGGGTGTCTTATCTGACCAGCGTCTGAGCTGATCAATCAAAAAAGCAAAGAAAAAAGTCTTTCACAGTCTCAGGCAGACATTAAGAAGACTTGCTCATCAGCAACTGATATTATCAATTTGTTCCAAAAGATTAAGAAACCTTACTTTCAGAGAAACTATGGCCTTTGGCCCTCGTGTGGGCAGGGCTGCTCCTATGTCTGCTGTTGCCTGTCCTTTGATGATGCTGGACATGGGATAGTGGTAATAGAAAATGCTCTTTTCTCTCAGTAGGTCAGGAAGGTAAAGTGCAAGATTCCCAAGGGTAGTACTAGTTTACTGGGGGACCCCAGATAGAAATGTTAGGGTCCCAAAAAGAAATACCGTCACACATGGATTTAAGTGGATTTCTCCCACACTACTGTCTCTACAGTGGATGTCTCCCACACCGCTGTCTCTACAGTGAATGTCTCCCACACTGCTGTCTCT